CAACACTTAACAATAAACCACCAGTCAAATAAATATAATGGTTATGAGCCCACACGCTTTTAACATTAACACCCTCACAATTTCCAGGTTGTGACAACCGTCGTTTTCCCCCTGTACTCTTCATAATATATAGCCTACGTGTATATAAATAGCATTATAACAATATATTTCATCGAAATGCGAGACCCAACATGCTGTCACAAAATTGATAATTTCATGCAGGGAAAAAATAAGGTCAGGCAGACTGAAACGTCGGAGGGAAATTTTTAAAAAATAAAAAAGGAAACGGCCAGCGGCAACCTCCGAGCGTCTAAACAACAACAACAACAACAACAACAACAACAACAACAACAACAACAACAACAACAACAGCCAAACTATCTCTTACACATATAATCCATCAAATCTCATATAATACGACGTACTTTATTTCCACAGAGCAATCCACGACTATACGTTCTATTCGAACACACATCTACAGGCGCTCTAGTCTCTATACAGACACGGGATGCACCCAATCGTGAGCTCCTAAGTTAGATCATATTATCATATCTCGAAACACATTCTAATGCCATACCTTGGCTCTGGTGGCTTCATATTTAGCCTGCGCGAAGGATAAGCGGCACAGTCGAAGTGTGGTGTTATCAGAATAAGCCAGTTTCTACATGATGTAAATTGCCCGATTGATTTCCCCGTTTGCTTTAAAAGAAAACTACCGAAACCTCTGCCCCTTGTAATCTAGAGATACCAATTCCTCTATCGAGCTGACATTTTAGAAAAGTTTGAGTGTTCTTTACAATATTGCAAGCAAGCTTGATTATACTGTTTCCCATCAGTTACAACCGACTTGTGTGGGGTAGCGGTTGGGAGCTTGGCCGTCGCACGCAGGAGACTTGAGTTTGACTCCCGTGTGTGGGGGATTTTATCGAGTATAGTGAATATATATAAATAATATATACATTGTATATATATATATATATATATATATATATATCTATATATATATATATATATATATATCTATCTATACCCACCATGCTTTGGCGGCCATTTTCTCGCTAATTTTACATCTGAAACCACCTCCTTCAATCCGAAATATCTCCGCTTCTATTGAAGATGGAAGGGTAATTTTTCCATTGAAAGCAGACAAATGAACAAGCTTTAAGATGATACCAATGACTCAATATGCTCAAAAATTGACGAGAGCCTGATTCCACCACGCTGCCTCACTTATATATGTTGAGGCGTTGCATCCCTCTCAGCCTGGGTCGGCCCTGACTGGCAGGAACGAAACAGCCGCCTTCTAAATTATCCACAAAGTGTCGATGGGGGCGTGGTGCTTTTCCCATTACTTGCTGCAATCAGTATTGTGGGACAGTGTCATTACATTGCGAACAGCTGAATCAAGAGGGGTAAAAGTTAAATAGATCTATTATTTGACGCCCCCCCCCCTCCCCCAACTCCTCCTCAAGTAAGCTAAATAAAACATCACGGCTACCCACATGTGGCCCAACAGACAGCTTGTGTGTTCGTTCGTTTGTTTGTTTGTTTGTTTGAGTAAAGAGGAACACATCGATACAATAATGGTCATTAATTAGTGCAGGGGGGAAAAGCAAAGACAGACAGCAAAAACAACGGAGGGAAAATAAAGAAGTAGGACGTACCAGCAGCACCCTGCAACCACCAATGTCCTGCCAGCAGACAGTGGAGGAACCCTTGGAAGTGCGTGGGGCGCAAACAAGTTCAGAATGGCTGAAGGGGGAAAGAGGGGGGGGGGGGGGGGGGCAGTGCACTTGATAACCTACGGCGTCTGCCCATTTAATTTCACTGCTTGTGTTTCGTTAAGTTTAGTTTGAAAAAAAAAAACCAACAACAAAAAAACAAAACAAAAACCCAGAAGCACATTGGCATGAAACCGCCCGCTATAGCCTAAGTGGATTAAGTGCAGTAGAGGAAGCAAGACAGACAGACAGACAGACACAAAAAAATCAGCAGGACCTACCAGTTTCACCCCCTCCCGCAAACACCTGCTTTATTTGTAAATGTACAACTTTCTAAAAACGGATTAATACAAATGATTAGTTCAGGAAATAAACTCCAATTACGTAGTGTAAAAAGTACCATCGGCTGCTTGAAACTGCAAGTGCAAAGCTTGTCCACAAAAACATGTCAGATTTTTTAAAGATTCAGAGCCACACAGCGAGAAGCGGACAGAAAGATTCCCACTTCTCAATTGAATCTCTGGAAACAAATCAAGGTTACAGACACTGAGAAACAAAGGCTATAGCAAAAACGCAAATTGGCTGCGAACTGCCATTACTGAAAGACTGTATCTAGATTACGACCATGTCCTTTTCAAAACAAAGTTGTTGTTGTTGTTGGTGGTGGTGGTGGTGGTGGTGGTGTTGATATTGCTGCTGTTGATGATGGTGATGATGATGTACGGAGGAGGAGGAGGATGATGAGGATGAGGATGATGATGATGGTTCAGCTGTAATTAGTTGCCGGGGGGGGGGGGGGGGTACGGATGCTTTCAATTTATACCTGCAATAGTTTATTTCACAGTGGGTTAAGACAAAAGAGGGAAGGAAATTAAATAATATTATTTATCCGCCGAGCTCCTCGTCTTTCGTGAAAATGAATCTAGATCTACACTATGTGTAGAGACGAAGCCTTTTTGTATTTCTAAACATTCATTTATTGGGGAACATAAACAACCAAAACACACAGCAGTAAAACTGACCACAAATTCGAGGTTCACAGAAAAATACAAGTACATGTAGTGTGTCCGAAATGTGAACATATAATAATAATGACATAAAAATATTCATCATCATCGTCATAAGTAATAATAATAATAATGGTAATAATGATAATAATGATAATAACAGCATAGTAGGTATATGACGAGTGGCGTCATGGCTGTAGCAGTTTATTTTTGGGGGGAGAAATATGTGAGGCAGCGTGGTGGAATCAGGCTCTCATCAATTTTTGAGCATTAGAGTTATTGGTATCATCTTAAAACTTGTTCACTTGTCTTTATTTGGGTGAAAAGCACTTCCATTTATCTTGAATACAAGTCGAGATATTTGTGGATGAGTGAGATGGGGGTCACCTGTTTTCAGAGGTAAAATTAGTGAGAAAATGGCCGCCAAAGATTAGTTATTTCCTTAGCTTAAGAGTCCGTGGTAACTGAAAATTAATATTTTTGTGTGCCTTTTATCGACGTTTTTCAGAAAAATCCACACCGAAATGGGTTCTTTAAAGGGCATGAATAGTGTTGAGCCAAAAAACAAAAATTTTATTAAAATTTACAAACCTGAGGAAAAAAGCAAGTTTCTTCACTTTGATTATTTTGACGAGAGCCTGATTCCACCACGCTGCCTCAAATATAATTAATAATAATAATAATAATAATAATAATAATAATAATAATAATAATAATAATAATAACTATAATAATGTTGTTGATTCTGATAATATTAATAATAATAATAATAATGATAATTATATAATAATAATAATAATAGTAAGAAGAAGAAGAAGAAGAAGAAGAAGAAGAAGAAGAAGAAGAAGAAGAAGAAGAAGAAGAAGAAGAAGAAGAAGAAGAAGAAGAAGAAGAACAACAACAACAACAACAACAACAACAACAACAACAACAACAACAATAACAACAACAACAACAACAAAAACAAAAACAACAACAACAACAATAATAATAATAACTTTCAAAAAAATTGAAAGTTTGATTTTTTTTTTACAATAAAAGTTTAAAAAATAATAATAATAACAACATTAATAATAATGATAATAATGATAATAATAATAATAATAATAATAATAATAATAATAATAATAATAATAATAATAATAATAATAGTAATAGTAATGATAATAATAACGATGGTGATGATGATGATGATCATAATAACAATAATAATAATACATGTAATAATAATAATAATAATAATAATAATAATAATAATAATAATAATAATAATAATAATAATAATAATAATAATA